TCCCCCATCAAAGCCCCTCCTCCCGCGAGCCCCAGCTCCGCGGCTGCGTGCCCCATGCGTTTCTCTCTGATGCTCCAGTCTGCGGCGAGCCCTCCCTTTCTGGCACTTCGTGTGTCATAACTCAGGACGTGTCATCGACCTGCTGAGCGGGTCAGCGCTGGAAGACAGGGCTGGGGCGAGCGCTGTGCTCCCCGGTGGTGGCGCAGGGCTCGGCGGTGCAGGCAGGTCCCCCCTGCAGCACAGGAGCTCCGCCGACCACCTGCTGGGCCTCAGCCTCGTGCCTCCACTGCGGGGGGATTTGTGGGGTCCAGGCCTCCCCCCTCCCCCAGGGGCCGCATCTGTGAGCAACCTGGGGTCCCCAGAGTCAGAGGCCCTGGAATTGCTCGGCCTTAGTCGGCAAAGGGCCATGGAGAATGCATCGCTGTGCCCTGGACCTTCTCTGTACAACTTAGGTGTTGGGTGGAGAAACGTCTCTCCTTTTATTCTTACACGTAGACTTTTCCAACTTTTCCATCCGTTGCATTTTTTAAAGAAGGGGGTGAAATAAACGTTCTGGCACATGCTATAAGAGTTGTGTTTGAAGGGAGCCCTACAGAATAAGGATTGTAATTTGTCTCCACTGTAGCCAATAAGAGAACAGGACTAGAGTTGACGTGGCAGATTGCCGCCTTCCGTCCTTATGAATAGATGTGCGTGTGTTGCGCGCGCACAAACACACACGCGATTTGCGTCTCAGCCCCTGTTGTAAGGCATTAGCACCGACCCTGTCTCTGGCATCAATTAGCGTTAAACGCTGAACGGTGTCTGCCTTTACCACACGGAACCAATTTTCAAATAGGGGAGGGTGGTACAAAGTAAAAACCCTAAAAGCGATTCTGAAGACAATTCTGTGAACTCTAAAGGGAGAAATCTGGGAAAAAAGAAACAAACAACACGTCAGCAATGCCCTGTATTAAGGGAAGGATCTGAAACGCTGCAGTCCTCAGAGTGGGACAGCAACCAGGACAGGAGCCCAAAGCCTGGGCCGGCTGGAGAGAAAGCAGAGGGACATCCCAGGACGCCCGGTGATGGGCCCTCTCACAGGGATGCTTCCGCGTCTCCAACACTGAGGTTTTGTCCATCAAAACTGGTAAGAAAGAAAAGGACAAAATTTAGTAAAATAAAATAAAAACCATAGCAAGAAACAGAGCCTCTCTCCTGCCCCCCGGTCAGACCCCCGGGCTTCACCCTGTTCTCACCTCCTTTCCTGAGAGCACTCAGCTTCCCGAGTTCCTCGCTCTCTGTCGGTTTGGGCTTCGTTTTGGGAACTGCTGAGGGAGAGGACAGAGGGCCCAACGCTGGAGAAAGTGGTCAAGGTCGTGGTTCAGCCACCGGGGCCGGACGGACAGGCGTGTGTCCCAGGGACCCTGTGTGCCCTGCTGGTCGCCTGTCCACACCCGCCATCCAGGAGACACCAGGTCTGCGCTGGTCCACCTTGCCTTTCATGTCATTAACTCTGTGACTATGAGTTGATTTTAAAGACATTTCCACCTGTGGGTGTCGGTGGCCGGCACTCAGGCAAAGGGGCGGCAGCGGTCACACCTTGGAAATGTTGGGCGTCTGGTTCCAGACCACCGCAATGAAGAGGTTCTGGCAATAAAGTGAATCACATGCCTTCTTTGGTTTCTCAGTGCGTGTAAAAGTGACGTTTACACTATACCGTAGTCTGTTAAGTGTGCGATAGCAGTATGTCGAGACAAGACAATGTACTTGATTGAATGAAAAATACTTTATTGCTAGAAAATGCTAACCACCATCTGAGCCTTCAGTGAGTCCTAGTAGTGACACCAAAGGCCACCCTAACAAACGCAACAATAATGAAAGAGCTTTAGCTGTTGTGAGAATTACCACAACGTGCCCCAGAGACATGAAGTGAGCAAACACTGTTGGAACACGGCGCGGACAGACTTGCTTGACTCAGGGCTGCCACAGACCTTCAATTTGTAAGAAACACAGTATCTGTGAAGTGCAGTAAAACGAGGTGCGCCTGTAGCCCGCCCGTGTCCCGTTAACGTAAACTTCACATCGATGATGGTTCTGAGATTCAAATTCAACTGGGTGCCCGGTGTTTGCATTGGCTACATCCGGCAACCCTGTGAGGGAAAAGCACAACAGGGGAGACTCACCTGACCTGGAAGTCCCTGGGCTCTGGTTTTACGGTTCTGGCCTGACAGTCCGCAGCGTTCAGAGGGGGCCCCAGGGTCCTGCTAAGGCGACTGGAACCAGAAGGGAAGGGGCTGGAGGCGAGCCAGCCCCCAGGTCCTCTGTGCTGGGTGTGGTGGCTGAGAAAGGTCGGGAGGCAAACGGAAACAGCCCCTCCCGGAGAACAGTCCTGCCCCGGAGACACAGCTCCCCGTGCACCCGCGGAGGGTCTGGTGCCAGGGCCCACACGTGCCCAGCAGCCGGCCCCGGTGGGCGGAGCCTGGACAGGCTCCTCAAGGAGACGTGCTCGGGGCCATTGGCGGCTCCGCCACGGCCCTCCTGGTGGCTCTCTGCCCCGAGCTCACGCTGGGGTCTGTCGCCCCTCAGCCAGGAGGACTGTCGTTTGATTGGATTTGCTGGGCTCCTCCAACAAGATGGACACGCGTGGATCGTCCACGTGGCGAGTCCACTCAAGTTTCCCAGGCACGCGTGTCTGCGTCTGATGGGGAAAATGACCTGCCGAGGTGCTTGTCATGAGGCGAGGGCGTCACCGAGGACCCGGGAGGCACCGTGAGGACGTCAGGGCTGCCGCAGAGCCGCAGTGCAGCGCCCGGGCTCGAGGGAGCATGCGGCAGCTCTCGCCGGTGACAACGCGGTGACTCTGGCACGTGCGCGAGCGTGTGCAGGGCCCCCTGTGTCTCGGGAGCTACCCTTGCTGTCTGCACTGTCCTGCTGGAGAGTGTGGGGAGCAGAGGGGCCTGCACTGTCCACATCCACTTGGTTCCTGGGTTTGGGACTAAGTAGCAAGAAGTCACGGAGAAACGGACTCATCTGAACATCCAGGTCCTCATGGCGCCTGGGTTCAGAGACTAGGATTGAAGGGTGAGAGTTTGGACAGCAAAGCATGCGGGTGTCCTGGGGCTGCCGTGACAGGTCACCGCAAACTGGGCGCCTTAGCACAACAGGGATCTACTCTCCCACAGTTCTGAAGGCCAGAGTCCAAGATCAAGGTGTCGGTTAACTCTGAAGACACAGGGAGGCACCCTGCCTGCCTCTCCCCAGCTTCTGGTGGCCACAGCAGTCCTTGGTGCTCCTTGGCTTCTAGACGCATCCCTCCAACTTCTGCCTGTGCCTCCACATGACGGCCTCCCTGTGTCCAAATGTCCTCATCTTATGAGAATCTTTGGGTCTTTTTATAGTCTCAGCATTTGTCAAATAATTGCTAGATTGTATATTGCCTCCTAAAATGTGCTTTGTCTTCATAGATCCATCACGCTGAACATTTAGGTGCCTGTGTGAATTAGCTATTATAATGCCCGATGGTGTTCACGAGTCCAAAGTCTGCGATTATGTTTGCAAGCAATTTTGCTGTCAGTGCCCTTCAAGCTGGAAGGTCGTCCTGTTGTCTTCGTGTCATTGGAAAGACCCAGAGAGGATTGGTTTAGGCGTTGGGTTTTTTTTTTGGGGGGGGGGTTAGTCCCGAGCTTGTATTTGTAGGACTCAGGACTGCACACCTGCAAATGTTTGTGTAGCATCGATTTCCAGACGTGTAACTGCTGGATTAAAAGGCAAGTGCATTAAAGACTTAGACAAATAAAATGGAGTTGCCCTCCAAGAAGCCAGTCATTTCCTCAGGGCCTCCCTACCAGTGTGTGACCGCTTCCTAACTTGATTACATCTGCAGAGACCCTGTTTCCAGACAAGGTCTCACGTCCACAGGTACCCGGGGCTAGGATGTCAGCATATCTCTTGGGGGGACACAGTTCAACCAACAACAGAGGGGCTTTCCTACCAAAGCTGTGGCCTCCATTCAGGCACCAGGATGCTGTGTACCAAGGCGCAGTGGCATCACTTAGGCAGTGGCCTTGTAGAGTCACAGGAATCCAGGGAGCGTCCCTGTCCCCGGGCAAGGCCTCGTGACCCCTCCAGCCAGGGATCACGGGCATGCTCTCGGCCCGTCTGTCTGGTCACAGTTTGGGAGGTTTGATCCTTTACTCGCTGAGGATCCCAGAGGGGAAACTGGAGCCCAAAGCCCCTCAGACCAGGGTGGTGCTGCGGCCTCACTGGGATTCCGTGTGGAACGAGACGACCTTTCTTCTCCTGACAGATCTGTCAGCCACAGGGAAAGGGACAGCCGGCTGGGCCCTGCCTGACCAGATCCTGCACCCAGTGTGGGTTTGCACGGGTCCTGGGCTTACACTCACGGGGCTCACATTCTCCCTCGAGCTAAGCCTCGTCACCGAGCTACCCGTCACCTGGCTTCCACCAGGTTCTTAAGAGTCAGACGAGCCCCGCTGTCACGCGCTGACACGGAAGAGGGAGGTGTGGGTTCCAGCCTGCGCCTGAGTCGGGCAGAGTGGGGGTGACCGGACACGCGGAGGGGTCAGTGAGGGTCCCAGTGAGACGGCCACAGCCTGGGTGGACAGAAGGGACAGGGACTGAGGGGACGGGGTGGGGCCAGCAGTGGACGATGCAGAGCCAGGCCACACCCCCGGCTCCCTTCAGGTCCTGGGTTGGCCCACTACGGGCAGCTTCCTCGCCCGTCTGTGACCTGGGCCATGGTCTCCGGCCTCAGCCCTGGGGCTCGGGGGTTTGGGCTGGACGTGGATGAGACGCCCGTGCCGCACTCACCGGCACCAGGAGCCCCAGGCTCCGGGGAAACAGCCGCACAGCAGGCTCTGTCCCCGAGTTCCCTCATCAGTGTGACACCTGCCTGTTTCCTTGCAAACTGCTGAGGGCCCTCCGTGTGGACTGGTGAATCCCTCCTAGCCAGGCGGCCACACGTGAATCCAGGTCCCCTGACTGTGGTGTCTTTGCAGCCCCCGAGGGACGAGAGCCTGAACGGCCTCCTGCAGGGATACAGGATCTACTACCGGGAACTAGAGTACGAGGCGGCCTCGGCCACTGAGTCCAAGACGCTCAAGACCCCCTCCGCTCTGCGGGCCGAGCTCACAGGTGAGCCCTCTCCTCCCCCTGCACGGGCCCGGCAGCAGGGAGGTTTCTGTGACCACAGTGCATCCGTCCCCCCAGGCCTGGGCCACGGGGGCTGGAGGAGGTGCGGCTCTGCCCCCTCCCACCGCCGGTGCGCACGGCCCAGGGCGTGGCGAGGTACCGTGAGCAGAGACCCCTGGCCGGTGGGGGACCGGGGAGGCTGCCCGGAGGAGGAGCCATCTGAGGTGACTGTCGGGGTAAAAGGGCGTCACCGAGGATGTGACGGGAAGCGGGGGACGCAGGGCTCAGCGCAGCTCGGTACGGGTGGACAAGCAGGGCGGCAGGGGCTCGGGTGGGCCAGGGGTCAGCGGCCAGCGCGCGGCATGTGCCGCGCAGGGCTGCCCCAAGTGGAGCAGGTTTGGGGTGCGCCGGGGCGGCTGCAGGGAGCCCCGCCTTCTGTCCCGGCTCATCTGTCTGCTCGCCTGCACCCCGCCAGACCCCTCCGCGGACTTTGGCAGTCCTTCCAGCAGCCTTCCAGGAAGCTCTGGAGCTGCTGGGCAGGCCGCCGCGCTCCCCCCCACTCTCTTCCTGGCGTCCCACACACTGTCAGAGGAGATACTTGAGCCTTAACCCCTGCACGCCGGCGTTGGGGCAGGCCGGCCGGGGAGCCGGGGCCTGCTCTGCCGAGGCCTGCTTGGGCCCCGCGTCTCGGCGAGGCTCACGTGTGCTATGGGCAGCTTCCGTGCTCCCTCCCCAGCCCGCCTTTTGGGGCCTCGGGGCTGCAGCTCGGCCCCGGCCCCGCCAGGAGGACTGGCTCAGTCGTGAGCCCCAGTCTCAGCATCACCCCGGGTGTCCCTTGCTGATGTCCAGACCGCAGCGAGCGTCTCCCTGGGCTGTGTCACAAAATCACATCCGTGGAATGAGAGGGTGCAGTGGGGTCTGTGCTCCTGGCCCCTGTGTGCCGTCTGCTCGTCCCCTTCAGCCCGGTGCTCCACCTGAGCACAGGTAGCTCAACGAGGCGTTGCCCGGGAGACGCCAACCTCCATCTCCCCCTGTGCTGCTTTTGCTACCCCGCGCCAGATGTGAACTTGACCCGTTTAACCTGAGGGGTGAGCACACGCCACCCCCTCGCGGGCCAGGGGGCCTGGCAGGTTCTCCAGGCAGTGCGGGGGCCCTGGCGAGCGGACCCCGCCACGCGGGGGGTGGAGAGGCTTCCCGGCCAGGCCCCGGCTCCGCGCCCGCAGCCCGTCACGCAAGAGCTGCTCCCTGCGCGCTGACCGCCTTTCTGCTCTGCTTGCCCCTAACAGCCCAGAGCAGCTTCCAGACCGTGAACAGCAGCTCCACGTTAACGACATACGAGCTAATACGTAAGTGGCAGCGCCCTCGTGTGGCGGCGTGACCTCGAGCAGCCAGGCGGCGCCGCGTGGCCTCTCCGGGGCCCAGTGGAAGCAGCGTGGATTCGTGGCTCTCGTTTCTGGGGTTCCCCCTCAAACACTGCTTTGCAGTATGCCGGAACCACCAGGGAGACAGGAAAGGAAACTTCTAGAAGCAGAGGCTGGGAGTGTGGGGTACCGGCAGCTGGTCTTCGAGTTTGGGACAGGAGGAAAGGCAGAGTGGGCAGATCTCCTCTCTGGCTCCTTGGACGTATTTTTTAAGCCCCTTTCTTATTGTGGTAAAATACACATAACACACAATTGCTGTCTTCACCATTTTTAAGGGTCCGGTTCCGGGGCATTAAGCGCATTCACACTGTTGGGCAACCATCCCCACCGTCCGTCTCCAGAACTTTCTCATCTTCCCAGACTGAGACTCTGTCCCCATGAAACACGGATGCCCCGTCCCCTCCCCCAGCCCTGGCCCCCACCCCCTACTTTCCATCTCTGTGACCCTGGCTCCTCCGGGGGGGACCTCACAGAAGTGGAATCGCGCAGCGTTGGTCCCTGTGTCTGCTGGGTTCACTTCTAGTTTCATCCGTGCTGTAGCGTCAGGGTCTCCTTCCTTCTCAAGGTTGAGGGACAGTCCACTGAATGCACACATCCCATTTATTTATCCATCCGTCCTCCATTCCTCTTTAACCAAACTGCTTCCCCTCGGATTCCTGTCTGGGGATGGGTTTCAGCAACTAAGTGCAAGGCTAAGGGGCCCCGATGCGATTCACTTCAGCACAGAGAAGTGGCTGGATTAGAAAGAGGATAAATGGGGGAGGGGAAGCCGGCCCTCCCCCGGCCCCAGGTGTGCGGGCACTGGCTGCCAGCCCGTGCCCTTTCATCCTGCCACCACCTGGGCCAGGTGACCAGCCTGGCAGCCGGGGCGGGGCTCACAGAGCTGTCCCACCTCCCCAAGCGTCACCTTGTCCGTCCATCCGTCGTGTGCTCGCTCACCCCCCCCACCCATCGCTCCCTGGTTGTTTCCTTGTCTCTCCGCCAAGTCCCTCCTGGGCCGGGTGCTCCCCCAGATGTGACCTCCCCGAGCAGCCAGGTGAAGGGTCCAGTGCAGGCCCGGCCCCAGTGAGGAGGGCTCCCTCCCGGGGTCTCGTCCAGGCCCTCCAATCATGGTTATGCAGTGCGGGAGGGGCGGCCCCGACCACGCAGCAGCGTCCACTCTGGTGTGTCTCTGTGGATTCCCGGTCCACACGAGTCCCGGGGTTGAGATGAAGCCTAGTTGTTTGTCTGGCAGCACGGCTGGACCACGTGGACAGAACCTTGACCATGAAATGTACACATATCGGCAAACCGAGGCCTTTGAGGTTTTAGTGGCCATGTCCTGGGAAGAAAGTGACATGTGACTCCAGACACCTCGCCCAGGCCCCGTAGCCAGGCATGAGCTCCGTACTAGCCAACGTGATGAGAGCAGCTGACCTCTAAGCCAAAACATTCTGGAAGGTTCTCCCCGTTGCGTGGCCTTCCCGAGGCCCCAGGTGCGTGCCGGACCACCTGGGTGCATGGTTCCTGCAAATCGTGCCTCCCAGCGAGCGGCTAGCTCAGCAGAGGTGCAGTGGATCCGACCTCCAGGCCCTCCCTTGAAGGCGGTCAAGGTTCTGCCTGCCCTACTGGGCCAGGGTCTCACTCCGTCGGTTCCTACGCTTACGGAGAGATTCTGGACCAAAAGGCAAGCCCGGGTCAGGCCCTGTGTCCTAGCTTCTTTCCCTCAGAAGACGAGCCTGCTGCCGCCTTCCCCTGAGTGCAGGATGGGTTGCGTCTTTGCCTCACGAGTGTCACTAATGCCGGGACAGAGGGTGGCAGGCCCCTCGCAGACCTCTCTCTGCAAGAAAGAGCTCTTCCCCCGCATCTTCTCAAGGGGCACTGGTCCCTCAGCGTGGCTCATGGAGGGAGTTTTCTAAGAAAGGGAGGGGGTCCCGCCAGCTGACCCCTGTCCCCTGGCCCTTGCAGAGCTGAAGAAATACCGGCGCTATGAAGTGGTCATGACAGCCTACAACGTCATCGGCGAGAGCCCGGCCAGCGCGCCCGTGGAGGTCTTCGTCGGCGAGGCCGGTAGGTCCCGCGTTTCCACCCCCAGCCCGGAGCTCAGGCGCCAGCAGCGTCCCCCTCGATGAAGGTCATTTTGCTGGTGGGGCAGGAGGCTTCCGATCATGGCTGGAAAGAGGCCAAGGGCTGGGTGTCCTGACGGGGGCAGCGGCCAAGTCTTGCTTTTGAGATTCAGGGGTGTTTAACGTCTGGATTTATCAGGACCTGCTCTAGGGGAGCGATGCTGTCGCCTCCATGGGAACCTAGGTGTGCGGGAACCTCCGTGTGTGGAGGGGGGATGTTTGTCAGCTGCCGTCTCTGGCTGGGCCCGGGCAGTGGCCCCGGCACTGAGTCAGCCTGACCATCTGTAACAGGCCCTTCCCAGGTCTCGAAAAGCCACGTGGATCCGTTTGTACCCCTTTTAGGTAAGAGGTGGCCCCTGGGTATGTTTCAAGGACCGTCCCTTCTGTGGGGCTAACCCACAGGGAGACGTCGTGTCCTGTGTGGAGGCCAGAGTGCGCCTGGCCCCAGCTGCCCTGCAGCGAGCTCTGCCGCCTGCCCTCTGGCCCACAGGGCGACCCCTCCCCCCGGCGCCCACCGCCCCGCCGACGGCCGTCTCCTCTGAGCCTGGCAGATGGCCTGAGGGCTCTGCTCAGATCTGCTGGTGCAGAGTTGGGAGGGTGAAGGATGCTTGGAATCCCTCTGAGGACAGAGACCGAGGCTTGCCGGAGGACAGAGGGGTTCTGGTCACTCGGCCGGTGCACGGAACACATCAGGTGACCTTTTGCTCTTTGGAGAGGTTATCGTCGTAAACCAATCAGCCCTGAGGGCCTAACTTAGCAGGATTTTTCTGGAACGGTCCCACAGTATTTTCGTGTAAGCGAGGATAAACCAAGTGAGCCACCAGGAGGTCGCATTGGCCTCTACACAAAAGTCTGTCTGGGGGGGAGGTGGAGGTTCCTTGGAGCAGGTGGGGCAGGGGCCAAGCGTTCCAAGAGGACACGGGCCTGGCCACAGAAGAGCCCACGTGGGCAGATGGGGGACGTGGCAGGGAGGGGACATTTCAGGGAGGGGACGTGGCGCGTGCCATCCGTCAGAGCAGGAGCTCTGGGACCTCGCTGGGCATCAGTGCGGGCCTTCGTACCGCTGGATTGAGGGGCGCACGGCCAGCCAGCTGTGACCTGCAGAGCTGACCTGCCCACCGCCAGCCTGCACTCCAGGGAAAGGACCCAGCCTGCGGGGGCCCAGGCACTCAGGACAGGGCCTCAGGCCCAGGACCAGAGCAGACGTCCAGAGAACAGGGCTGGAGCCTGGGCGGGAGACCCGGCCGGCACTGGGGCCGCAGCCAGCCAGCGGGCGACCGTGGGGTGTGCGCAGTTCATGGGTCTTGTTTGTTGTTTGTTTGTTTTGTGGTAAAGCACAGTTAACGTGAAACGTGCCAACCTCATCACTGGCAAGCGTCCAGCTCAGGGGCGTGAAACACATTCACCTGTTGTGCGGCCACTGCCCCCCCATCTCCTCTGGAGTCCTTCATCTTCCCAAACAGCAGCCCCTCGCCCGTCAGCAGACCCTTCCCTCTCCCCCCCCCCCCGCCCCGGACGGCCTCTAATTTACTTTCTGTCTGTGGATTTGCCTAGTCTAGGTACTTCCTAGGCGTGGACTCACCACATTTGTCCTTTGCACCCGCCTTCTCTCACTCAGCGTGTTTTCTTGGTTCATCCATGTCGTAGCAGGCGTCAGACTCTGTTCCTTCTCATGCAGTAGGCATGTCCACTGTGGGCAGGCACCACATTTTCTTTACCTGTGGGCCCATCAGTGGACACCTGGGTTGTTTCCACCTCTTGGGTTTGTGGTGGAGCTGCTGTGAACTCGGGTGGACCAGGTGTTTTTCCCAAGTGCTGAGCTGAGTCTGAGCCCGTGTGGCCTGGCCATGATGCAGGGTGCTGGCCGCTCCCGCCCCCTCCATGGGGGCCCCTCTGCCAACACACACCTGCCCCTATGCTGACTCTCCCCGGGGGGGGGGGGTCGCGGAGAGGGATGGATGTCCATTGGCTCTGCCACCGTGGCGTGGGCGGCAGCCTCCAAACAGACTCCATCAGGAACACGGAAAGCAGGGGCCGGGGCACAGAGGCGGATGTTCAGCCCTCAGTGCGTTGCTCTGCCGTCTGTGTTTACGCTGCAGAGAACGTTCTGAAAGGAGGATGCCAGTACTTCCAGCGTGGCTGCCACTTACCCTTTGCCCTCCCAGTCTCCGCCTCTCACAGCCCACGGGCCCCTTATAATGGTTTCGTTCCGATGCTGCGCAGTGCTGCGAACCAGGCCTGCAGAAAATAAAGTTCATTGGGGCCAATTTCCACTCACCTGGCCAGACGCTTCATCATGTCACAAACTGGTCGGCATGAGACACTCAGACTTGTGTGAAAACAGCCTGGAAACAACACGGTTTCCTGAGTTAGACCGCCCTGAGCATCTGAGTGTCGGCTCGGCCGGTTTCCGGCTGTGTGATGTGGGGCCAGTTACTTCACCTCTCTGAGCCCTGGCCCTGAGGACCGTGGTGCAGAGGGGAAAGCTGTGGGCTAGGAGTCCTTGTCCCAACTCTGCCCCCAACTTGCCTGTCCCACCTGCAGGATAAATGTCCAGGACACGCCTGGACTGGTCAGTCAGTAAGTGGTGAGTGAATGACTGAGACCCTGTGTGGTTACTGGATTGGTCTGGCCCATCTACAGAACAATGAGAGGTTGAGAGTTAATGATCTTTGGGTCCCCTCCAGTCCAAATATGTAATATTTAAATCCTTTTAACCTCAGAGAGAAAGTGTAATCTTTAGGAGATTTCTCATTGAGATTGATTTCTGAGTCCAGGCATTTCAAATTGGTAAAAATAATATATTAGTAAGGACTCCAGTTTGCAAGAGATAGAAACCCAAACAGGCTTAAACTGAAAGAATCAATATCAACTCACATAACAGAAGAGTTGAAGAGCCTGGGTACAGCTTCAGGCATGGCTGGATCCAGCACCCTAACAGGCTGGTCCCATGTCCCCTCTTGGTTCCACTCTCCTCTCAGCTCACTCCTGTCTGGGGCGGGCTCTTCATCAAGGTGGCCCTGGAGCTTCAGGCGGCAGAAAGAGAGTTTCCTTTTTCTACGGTGCCTCCAGTGGCAGTCCACTGGCCCCAGTTAGCCTGCCTTACACGCCCATCTGCTACAGCCAATGGCCTGAGGTCCCAAAGCCAGGGGATGATGTCATCTCTACCTGGACCACATGGACCGAATGGGAGGAAGGATCCCCAGATCCCCAGGGGCGATCTGGTTGCTGCGGCCAGAAGGGGACTCTGGGTGTTTGCTCAGCTGTCAGTGTGGCACTCACGGCAGAGCTTTCCGAGGGGCCAGAGCTGCTTCTGGGAGATGTTCTGTACTAGTCACCCCCGCCCCCGCCCCTGTGAAACCTCCAGGCCCAGCTCTGTGTTCTCGGGGTTCTACAGCTGAGAGGAGCCCATATCCTGGCCTTCGGGACACTTACTACTGGAGGACAGGCCCCACCTTCAGGATAAGGCTGCCCTCCTGCCTGGGACACGTCTGTGTTTCCAGACCTCCCAGGCTGCTCCCCCGGAACATAACGCCATCCCACCCACACCGCGCTGCATCTGCCCGGAACCCCTGCTCTTCACTCCAGTCCCTGGAAGACCCTCCAGTCTTCCGTTCAGCCCACCTTCAAGTCCACCCCCTCAAGGCCTGGCCGCCCTGTCCCCGGCCTGGGCAGAACTAGGGACCCCTCTGCTCCGGAACACGCCACCCGTTCTGCTCTCTGCACCTCCTGTCTGTGATGCAAAGACCCCGCTGATTCACCCCAGCGTCCAGGGTGCTCGGGTCTTCATGGTTGCCTGGAGCACTGCAAACACTGTAATGTTGGGGGAGTGAAGGAGGGGGGAGCAGATTCAGACAGGAAGGAGGGGAGCCACACAGCCTGCCCCACCCCCTGGGGCCCGGGGAGGTGAGGGGAGACCCCCGAGGGAGGAGACCCCCGGGGCCCGGGGAGGTGAGGGGAGACCCCAGAGGGAGGGCTCCTGCCCAAGGCGCCTACAGCCCCAGCTCCCGCCAGCCCTGCAGCCTCTGCCCTCTCAGGGGGCATGGTGGCGGAGAATCCCCAGGGACTCTGACACCACAAGGGGCCCCGCAGCAGCAGAGCAGACTCAGTCCCTCCTAACAAAGCCTGAGGCTTCCATCTGGGCTCTTGTTCCAGCTGGGTCAAAAACGGATCCTTCCCTGAGCGCCTTGTAGGGAACCATGAGGACAGAGCATGTGTTGCCAGCTCTGGGGGTGGGGACCGTGGAAGCAGACAGGGGCCACCCCCCACCCTGCTGCCAGCTTCTTCGCCCGGGGAAAGGGGGTGACAGCACCCATCCTCGTAGAGCAGGGACCCCCTCCCAGACCCCGTCAGCGGCTGCCCTGACCCGCACCTCCCAGCCTCTGCGGAGGACCAGCAGCCCCTGCTCCAGCCAAGTGCTCGGTCCCTGGATGTGCCGCTGCAGCCCCCGTGAGTCGGGGTTGATTCCCTGAGGCGCAAGGCCCGGGGCCCCCTGTCACAGGTCACGGTGAAGATTGTTAGTGGCTTCCCTTCCCGGCCACCCGACCTAGGAGGGCCGGGGTGGAGGCCAAGGTGAGCGGCCCCTGGCCCCATTCATCCTGTTTCCCCTGAACCTCGGCCCAGTTTTAAAGCCAGAGCGGATGGACCCTGTCCACGTTCAGACCATGCCATCTGCAGAGCTGAGACGCTCACCATCCGGGTAGAGGAGAAGAAACCCAGTGCGAACCCAAGGAGGGTCTGGCCAGACAGGTTGCCGTCGGGCAGAGGCAGTTCCGGGCCAGAGAGCGACTGAGTCAGCCAAGTGCTGGGCCTGGGCCGGACCTGACGCCCAGACGCACCTGACGCTCAGTCTGTCGCGGGACCAGGGCTGCGGGTCTGGGGTGTAGGGAGGGGGAGCTCCGCACAGCCCAGCAAAGCGCACGTGGGCTCCGCGGCCTGGTGTGC